TGGAACTGGTGGAAAATTACTTACAAGATAAACATTATAGCTGTCAGAAGGCAAGTCAGCTGGGCCAAATTTTTAGGAGAGAGTAAAACTTCCCTCCACACTTTCCAACAGTCTCTTGSGTTTTACTTTTGTGGCTTGGGACCAAAGTGGCCAAATAAATATGCAACTCCTCTTAGCTGGGGCAGTCATGATACCAGAAGGTTTATCCACACAAACATGCAAATGGCCTCTCGATAACCACCTCAAATATGACTTGGTACACTAAAGACCTTCTAGATAATCATATGTCAAGTGGAATTTGTCAAAGTCATCGGTAATTGAATTTCTTCATTAGAAATGACTAAGTGGTCTGGCATTAAATGTTACTTGGTAATATCTGCCTTGACAGATGCTTTCACATAGTAAGCTCTCTAATGTGCACAATATCTTAAAGAGCAAATTAAGAGTGGAATATATAATTTACGGCTTATTTGTGAAATCTGGGCTTGTTTTGGTAGGCATATATTAGGCTTCATTGGGAACCGCTTCCCAACAACAGGCTCCATTTGCAGCCCTTATTTGCTCTGGCAACACCAGCTAAAACTGCACGTGCTGCAAAACTGAAAATACTGCTCCAACCTCCTGTAGCTGTTATTGTTAACCCCTATTAATACCCTCAACCTCTAAGAAATGTATAACACACATCTTACTGCCTCCATTGTATTCGATTACTTCACTAATAATCTAATTAGTAAGAATAATAGGGGGTAAAAGGGACAAACAACAGGGCTAGGTTGCTAAGGGGGACAGGCAGTGTGTATTTTTAGAAGCTACAAGGAATGACCCACTAATTTCTGGGAGCTACCAGAGACGGAGCCGTGGAAATCAGCCCAAAGCACTGTGCTTTTGCTTGGAATTTACTGGAATGCAAGTCTGTAGAGCCACACTTTTCAAACACCTAAGTAATGGTCAAGGAGCAACCCAGCCCTCTTTCTGGAGATGTATTTATGTCTCAGTGTGATTTTCRTAGAAGAGCTCCTTTAAAGAAAGCTGTTAGCTTACTAGCTAAGTAACATTAATTAGCAATTCCTATGAAATTCAGCTCTTATAAGACATAATGTACAGAAATGACATTTAGGGAAAGCAAAATTATTTGTGTATTTTCAAGACAAACATAGGAGGGCAGAGTGTACATTAAAATCCATTTAAAAGCATGCTGAAGTGAATGGAAAAAAGCCTCCAGTCCCTAGTGCATATTATTATGGAATTTGATCCATTAATACATAAGTAGTAGTTTCTGCAAACTCATATACATTAAATTTTAAGCACATGGAGAATTTTCATGAACTTTCACACACAACTTTACTTCACTGGAAAACAACAAATGTCCAGGTATTTCTCCGGCTTTTCGAGATAAGATTTTTTAAAGTGCTCTGTTGGCAGCATGCGAGTTTCCTGAAAAACGAATCCAACCTCTTTACCAGCTGTTTTTTCATTCTGTTTCATTTTTCCAAGAAAACCATTAGCAGAAGAAGGAAACAGCAAGTATAACTCTCAACAGAGCACCAGGAATCAGCACTGCAGCCTGACAAGGCAGCTCCAGCTCTGATAAGCTGTATTTTGGGTTTCAAGACAGCCTTAGGGCATCCATGTGTGTACATGTAATAAATCATCCCACTGAAAAGATAATTACTGAGCGAAAAAAGCCTGGCTTGGCAGCAATTATACTAAACTGTTTGAATTAACATACTCACAGACGGTTCCTTGTTATTCTGTGCACACAGAAGAATGTTTCATTACACTAGTTCATTCACTTGAAAGGCAATTARGAGCTGCTTATTAATCACACTAATACCACACAGGCTTTGTTTTGACTGCAAAAACAATGTAGAACAAAAGATTAATTAGGTGTTTAGGCTGGCACTTTCAAAGGCACTGGGGATGCTCCCTAGGTGAGAGCAGTTCTGCTGCAGCTCCAGCCACGGATTCAGAAACACATCCCCAGCGCGGGGCTGTTTTGGCAACGTTGGCCATTTCTGAGCACAAACCCTCTGAGCAAAGAATAATCTAATTAAAATGTATATCTGCATATGCATATTCTGTGCCACTCCTTTTCAATTTAATTGTAATGATTGCTCCCAAAACAGGAATACCTGCCCACGCATCCCTCCCTCCAGCACCTTGAGGAGTTTTCCCTTCACAGCTCTTGCTGCTGGTTTTCTCCAAGCCTGTGACTTGGATGGGAGCTTCTTCATCAGCCCTGTCTCGTTTCCCTCCAGAAAAGGGGCATTTGCATCAGACACAAACAGGACACTTTTGTCTGACCCACTGAAAAGCACAGGCTACTGATATTGCAGGATCAGAACATACTCTGCTTGTAGCTCCTTCACAGGAGAACCCAGMAGGATCAAAACATACCCTGCCCACAAGCTCCTTCACAGGAGAACCCAGCCTTCCTGATGGCTCTGCAAACAGAAAGCAATATCTGGACCCTCTGGGGACGTACTTCCTAATAGTAGTCTTGTTGCTTACTTCAACAGGACTAAATTTAATCCTGCCTTCCTTTCATGGTTTTCCTTCTGCGATTGCTCCTTTATTCCTCCTTTGTGGACCATGTTGGTGAGTTACAGAAAAACATCCAGGCCCAATAAAAGCGATATGGGGCAAATGCAGCAGTCAACATACTCATTCCAGCTGCCCTCTCCAGACAGCCAGGAGAGAGTTCCCTGTCCTCAACTCATCAACAGCCTCCTCTCTGACAACATAACCTGAACCCTCTGATAAAACTCTAGGTTATGAGTTTTTCTGTATGAACTACTAGTTGTATTGCGTAGTATAAAAATGAGTCGGGGAAAAACCATCAAAAACACCACAGAAAATAATGACTATTGTACCAGGGACTGACATGKCTCTATACACTACCATGGTAGGGCTTCACTCCCTCTTACACTCCTACCTAGAGACATATGTTCTCTCTCTCTGTCAGCTTGTCATTGCTCAATGAAACAATTTCCTGGCCCACTTCTGGCAACCTTCACAAGAATCAGACCATTCTTTCTTTAACTGTTTGGAGCCCTTGATTAGATAATGCAGTTTTGCCAAAATAAGGTTCGCTAACATCTACGTAAAAGATCCTTGAACCCAAATGAATATCCTACTCGCCTTTAAAGGTGCTTTCTAGGAAACCAATGTGCAGACAGTGAGGTCTGTGCACGTCCATTAGAGGTATCACAAGCTTTTCTATCCATGTTCGCCATGCTCAGGGGGACGCACGATGGTGCTGAGACGCATCCCCCAGACACTTTCAGTGCTCGCAGTTAGAAATCCTTCCTCTTTTGCAGATTCTGCAAAACCTCCTAACCAATATGCAGAATGATGTAATCTCTTAGGAATTGGTTGGGAGCATCTTGCTGAGATGTGTGTACCACCTGTATGCTTAATTTGAGGGAGATTGGGAAAAGCTGATCCAYACATGCCTCACATCCACCTCTTTCWCCTTCTCATTTTACAGTCAACATCTCCCTACCCCTTTTTTTCTTAAGGGGAATCTATGGTCTCTCAAAGTAGATCAGGGAACAGGTTCTTGACGTGCAATTTGCAGCTTTTCTCCATTTAGTCTCCTTAGTATTCCAACCCCAGTGATTTTCTTTTATAGTCCTCTAGTGTCCCTACCTTGCAAACTATAAACAACAGGCAACCTGTAAACCACAGGGTGGAAGACTAGGCAGCAGAATGGCAAAAGTGCACGATGGAGAAACTTTCAGATAGCAGCTCTCATGTTTTCCTTAGCACCAGGACTTACGTGTTTAGTGCTCTATGAACAGTACTTTTTTGTTGGGGAAATTATTTCATTATGTGACTGGCTGCCATATAWTTCTTTATCCATGCATTAACTGAGAGTTTCCAGTTAAAAGGAAATTAATTTAATCTCCAAAAAGCCTGTGTATCTCTTCCACTGCCAATTACTCTTGCATCTTCTCCTTCTCTCCACTCCTACAACTTTTTTCCAGCAGCTTTTGTACTCTTGCAGCGACCACAGTGACTGGCAAACCTGACCACAGCTTAGCATCATCCTTCCTTTGCCTCACACTCCCTTTCCTTGCACAAATCTCTCTGAAGAGCATCCCAGGAGGGCTGCTCACACATTCTCTCAGTCCCTTCTCTGGTTTCCTTGAGCAGTGCCAAACAAGTAGGAGAAGCAGTTAAGCTTTTTCCTACGTTCTCAGCTTGCACCCTGCTCAGCACTTCAAGACATGTGGTAAGCAGGAGCCTATATCTAACGTTATCTCCTCAGCCTCCTTGGCCAGCGATGACATTGGCTGGGAAAATCCAAATGCCTCGTGGCTTTCTGGGCAAGCTACATGCAAGTCTGTTGTGGTTTCACAGTACAGCTGCATGACTGTAYAGATCCAGAATCTCCTATGTTTTGCCAACTTGCATGCTTAAAGCCAAAAGATACAGAGTATTTTTGCCCAAGAAATCTGCCACACACAACTCTGCTCTTTGCTTAACAGAGCTTATGCTCCACACTTCCCTACCCACACTATATATATTCTTGAAGTGCATGGTTCCCCCCTCCTTACATGGCAGCCCCGTAAGCAAGGATTTCCATATTGACTTACATTACTAACGTAACAACTGTCTGTTGAATCTCCCTTCTCAAGTCCAAATCAACCATTTTTCTGATCAGTCTGAAGTGTATGAGCTATTCTGTCTTGTCAGTATCGTTGGACTAAGCAGGTTGAGTGTTATATGAAAGAATGGGCAGAACAATGTATTTCTACTGCA